CCAAATAAGCTGAACATGCATATAAATAGGAACAAATAAATACATTTATATAATACAAAAAGTTATACATAAAAGTATATGCATGCATTAGATGTTTTCATGTAAGGATAATATATATTTGTTACATTAAAATTATACAAATATATTTTACAAACACATTGCAATTTATACTTTTGCTTTCCTCTTTAAAAATAAAATAAAGGAAAATAATTATTTTTAATGTTTTTTTTTTCGCTTTGCTTTATCTAATTTGTTGCTGAAAATAACAACCATTCTAAAGAAACAAAAATAAAAACAGTACACAAATTATTTAGATTATTAATTTCTTTTTATTTTTTTTCTATTTAAATTTCTTTTTATTTCCTATTTTGTTATTTTAGTTTTTTTGTTTTTGAAAGTTTTTTCTGCAGTGATTAATATTAAAAACTTGCAAATGGTCATAATCAAGTTGTCTAAAATAAAATACTTACAGGTTGAGCAGTGTTCAAAATCAAAAATAAAGTAAAATGCAGAAAATCTTAATTTTTTATGTGTGCTCTTTTCTTACCATGAACCTTCCTTAGTTTTTTGAGTGTTTTTTTACTCCTAAAACAATTATCTTCTATATACACAAATCTAGTTACATTTTGTTATTTAACATTTTTTTATTTATAAAATTTATTTCAGACAACAAGTACAAGGTCATAGTTAAAATAATCAATTAATAATTCTATTTAATGCATACACAGCTGCATTTTTACTAACGCAGACGACAAGCTGCTTTTTAAGACTGCAGTTAAGCAATCTAGTGTAGACAGGTCCAGCTTATTAAATATTTGTCCTAGCCAAAAAAAATATTTTAGCACATGTAAGAAGATTGTAAATTTGACACTTTTACACTAAACTTAAGCCACAGAGCCACAAACAGAGGCAGTGTGTTTTAAATAACTGTATTTTTACATTAACTGGGCATATCTTGAATCGTCTGTTAAAAATATTTGTATTATATAAAATTTTATTATCTCTATTTATATCAGCATTATCAATTATTTTTAATTATGTGACCTACATGGTTAAATTTGTCCTCGAAAACTAGTTCACAACCAGCTAAAGTACACACTGTTTTTTTAGAATTGGTATTCTTGGTCAATATTTAATGCAGTTGGTAATTTTTGCAATACAAACAAGCAGTGCAATAAGGAAAATATCATCGGAATATACAGAAAAAAATACATACTGAAACTTTTTAGTCCCTGTGTAATAAGTGTTTGTGTTAATAAGTAAAAGTTCAAAAGTTCAAAAAATTCTCAACCAAGAGGTAACCCACTGTTTAGAGTGGTAGCCCTCTCATCAAGTACTATTTTGAATAAATTAAAAACTATTGGATTATAATGATGATGAGAAACAATGAAAAAACATCCATAGAAACAATCACAAACAACGCTACTAATGTGCCAATTCGATAAGCCCTTTCGCTAGATCACCCACAGATGTACTGGATCTGTGTGATGCATCAACATTGAACAATCCAGTAACAACAAGAAGTGTATGTGATCAATTCAAAAAAATCAAATCAGTCACCGCCACCAATAACAACAGCAATCAAAATAATGCTACAACCACTGCCGCCACGCTAGCCACGGCAAGCACTCAATCTCACAAACCGCATCTCACAAACCTGTCTCCAACACATTTAATCTCCAATCTTCTGTCACTACCAATAAAGTCATTCGCAAAAAACTCAATTTTCGGACAAATAATCCATGCTCATTAAATGGTGCCATGCAAGATGAGCTGATGGCAAGAATAGATATTAAAGAACCAGCAGACAAACCAGACTTGCTCTTTTTTGCAGAGTCATGGTTCACCGACACGTCAGATATTCGACTACCAGGATACCAAACACACAAAAAAAATAGAGGAGGTAGGGGAGGAGGTGTTGTAATATACATAAAAAATGATATACCAGTAGCTGAAACAGATATAGCACAATTGAACTCATCGGACATATAGCAAGTATGGCGAGTTATAAAGTTAGGTAAAGAGTCGGTTCTTCTGGGTTGCATTTATTGTCCGCAGGACAATGATAAAGTAATGCTTGAAAAAGTAATAAAGACAATCAAAACTGCAATTCAAAGCATTTCAAAACTGGAATGGTAATGTTCCATACCTTTAGAAGAAATAGAGAAGAAGAGCCAAAAAACACACTTGACTTACTTATCACTGACGAACCAGACCAAATTATCGATCTACATAAAGGCGACTCACTAGGTCACACATCAGCAGATGAATCACATTGTTTTATCATTGGTTCATTTGTAACAAACAACAACAGAATGACAAGCAAAACAAAAAAAGGTATATATTGATAAGAGCAAACTACGATGCCATCTCAGCGCAAATAATAGCCATCGATTGGATAAGTATCTTCAATTATTTTTCAGCTAACAAAACTATAAATTACTAGTAGAAAAAGTTAATGAAGCAATTGAAATCCACATACCTGCAACTGCATTACCTTTCAAGAGTAAAAAAGAACCATGGAACACCCCTGAAGTTGAAGTAGCTGCGAGAAAGAAGAGAGCACTATAGCACAAATACTTAGCAGCCAGTAGATGGATGCATGAGGAAATTTGTAAGGAGCACAAAGCAGCATGTAAAAAACTCAGCAAGATGGTGAAAGCAGCAACTGTTGACTATGAGAGGGAGATTGCAGCATGTTTCAACTATGACCCAAAACAACTTCATAACCAAGTTAAGCATAAGAAAATGGAAAATGAAATGGTGATATCCCTAGAAAACGATGCAGGAAAAATAACTACAAGTATGCAAGAAATTTCACATTTATTTAATGTGAAATTAGACACACAGCCCCGCTTAGGTAAAAAACCATGCTCAACACGGTTTTTTACCTAAGCGGGGCTGTGTGTCTAATCTACTAGAAGCTTGTGAAATTCTGACAAATGCAGTTCATCATGGCTATGCCATAGATGTGATATACATTGATTTTGAGAAAGCTTTTGACAAAATGCCATAAAAAAAACTTCTGCATAAACTAAAAGCTTATGGTTTATGCGGCTTACTGTTCAGGTGGATATCAAACTGGCTGGCTGACCGAAAGCAAAGGGTTGTTGTTTTCAAAGCTAAATCTGAGTGGAAAAAAGTAACTAGTGGAGTGTCTCAGGGATCGGTGCTGGACTGTTGCTCTTCATTCTCTATATTAATTATCTACCAGACATCATAGCTCACCACATCAAGATATGTGCCGACGACAGCAAAATACTAGGTGTAATCATAACAGAGGAGGACAAAGCACGTCTTTAGCTAAATATTGATAGCACTGTAGAATGGTCCAAAAAGTGTCTGTTACTATTTAACTTGGACAAATGCAAATGCATGTATGTAGGTTGCTCCAACAATTTAGTCTACGTTTACACAATGGCTGATCAGATGGGAATAAGACAAGAACTGGATATGACTTCAGTCGAATGAGATCTAGGTGTTCTTATTTCAGAAGACTTAAAAGTCAAGCATCAAGTTGAAGCAGCGACTGCAAGAGCAAACCAAGTACTTGGTTAGCTTAAGAAATCCTTCAGAAGCAGAGGTCTCATACTTTGGAAAGTTCTTTACAAATTGTATGCTAGACCACACCTTGAATTTGCCATCCAATCGTGGTTGCCACATCTAAAGGGAGACATCAATACTCTCGAAAGCCTTCAAAAGCATGCAACGAACATAAATCATATGAGGAAAGACTTGAAATTCTAGGACTAACAAACTAGAAGATAGGCAAGTTAGAAATGATTTAATTTAGCAATATAAAATTGCGCATGATGTTGAGAAAATTGAATTTGTTGTGCCTTAAGTCTATGGGCAAACGCTTTCCCAGTATAACCTTTGTAGCAATTGCATAAGACTTACTAAGCTGATAGTCAAGAACTGTTGAAAGGGAAAAGTTCTTCACAAACCGCGTAGTCAATGCATGGAATGCTTTACCTTCAAATGTTGTTAACACCTTTTCAACTGTCACATTTAAAAGTCTATTTGATGCATTAACAGTATAAGTATAGACACATCATGTGTCTGATATTTGTCAACATGGAGGTGCCTGGTGCTGCACCTCTTCATCAATATAATATAAACATTTTATTCTTCATCATCTAAAATTGTTATAAGTATTATTGATTTTTCAATAAACAAAATTAAAAAAAAAAAATATGCCAAAAGATTCAAAAACTTGCCACTTATATGGATGTAATATCCAATATGCAAATTCATAATATTGGAAATCAGTTTTCATATATAAAATCCAAACAAGAATGGTGAAAGAATTCTACCTTACTGTACACAATTACTTATATTATATACAATTTTTGCAATAAGGTTAAGCTGGTTTGAAAACTTCAAAAAAAATCACAGCCACTAAAAACATCATGATAGACTATTGGTGGCAACTCTCTTGTTCAGATTGCTTTCATTTTTTACCTACAATTTAGGTTGCATTAAAAAGATTTTCCCAAAAGTATGCATTTTTTAATTCATACTGAACGAATAAATTACACTTAATAATATTGTCATAATGAGGATATAGATAATTAATGATTTAAGCTTTTTTTAAAAAAAACAAACACTAAAAGGCAAATTAATAGACTGTAATGTTTTTTAAAACATTCATTCTGAATGTTTTTATTTTTGTAAAAAAAATTAAAACATTTAAAATGTTTTAATTTTATTTTTTTACTATTTATATACATCGACTGATAAATAGCCATTTTCAATCTCAAAACTTTGAATAGGTAACTTGTAGTTACTTTTTACCTCATATAAAATTTTTGTCTTCTAATTTAAAATTTTTTTGGCTTCACATAATACCTAAGCATTTAAGTAGTGATGATTTTTTTTTTTACTTAAATATACATATTTTTTTACTTACTTTTTTTTTACTCTAAAATAAAATAAAACCATCTGTTTTTTATTTCATTTTAAGCACTGGAATAGTATCATTAAAGCATTTTTTTTAGATATCAAAGATCAACTAAGACTTATTGAAAAAGCTGTACTTAATAAAGAGCCTAGATACTCTTCTCGTGTTCTTCGATCTCTTGTAAATGTTAGAAAGAAGTTAAATGAAAAACTACTTGTTAATATTATTGCATCGTTTGCTCAAGCAGGTCTTCCTATTTTATTTTTGTTTAATAGTATTTATTATTTTATTGTTATAATTTTTTTTTTACCATGTAGTACATGGTAAAAAAAAAATAGTACATAGTACTTTTTTTTTTTTTTTAATTTGCTGTTATATTTATTTTCTGTGTTTTTATTTTTCAATTAAAGGTGCAAAAACTTCATTACTTGGATTCTTTGATAGTGAACCAACTGAGACTGCAGATGAAAAAAAAACTTTGAACTTTCAACAATTACCAGAAATAGATGTTTATCTACATTTGTTATGCACTATATTTTTTATTGACAATACTCAATTAGATAAGGTATGTACTTATAGTTACTTTACAGGAAAACAAAAAATTAATGTGAATTTGCTAGACTAAAAAGTATAATATTCAGTTTTAAAATTGTTTGGTATTCTTAGTTGTTTTTTCTTAGTTTTAAAATTGTTTGATATTCTTAGTTGTTTTTTCTTAGTTTTAAAATTGCTTGGTATTCTTAATTGTTTTTTCTTAGTTTTAAAATTGTTTGGTATTCTTAGTTGTTTTTAAATAGTTGATGTATTGTAATAAAACAAAAAAAAGATTTTGAGAAAAATTGCAGCTTTTAAAAAATGTTTCAGTAAAGTTATTTTATATTTTCAAAGTAAACACTTTATATATATTTTAAAGCAGTTAAGAAAAGTTGAATGAGATCAAATATGATATAGAATATTTAGTTATATTAGATTTAAAAGGATGTAATAAAATAACAAATAAAATAAGGGGATAGAATATCTTATTCAAAGAATAACATATTTTATCTCCTTATTTTATATTCTTATTAAAATTCTCCTTATTAAAATTCAAATTTTTAAGTGGTGATTAAGTGAGTAATTTATTTATAGAAATATATTTTGTAAATATTGACATGTGTGTTAACACTAGCTATAATAAGTCTGTTTATAAATATGCTTGTGAATTGGTTTATAGCAGATTTTTAGCAGTTTTTATAGGTTTATGGAGTTTCTAAGAGTAAAGTGAGAAATAAGTGTGAGAGCCAGCTAATGGTAGTTTTTTTAAACAAATTTACTTTCAACAAGGCTGCCAACAATCACTATTAATTTAGGAGTTACCATAGTTTCCATAAAACAAAGAATATTGTTAAATAGCAAGAAAACAGTTGACAGAAGACTTAAAAAACTTTAAATTATATTTATTGGCAAAACATGAAGACAGGAAAGAATTCCAAACCATGGATGCACTAGGAAAGAACTAGGATGAATAAATATGTATAGAGTTTAAAGGGGGCAGATAAAGTATATGGATGCAACTTTGCTAAATGACAAGTCATTCGAGATTGAGTTTTGGTTGATGGAAGAGATAAAAAAAGAAAGAGGTATATATATCATTTCCATAAGAGGTCAGTATTTAATGATAATACAAGAACATAGGGCTCAGTAAAATTGGTGTTATTCGCAGGGGCGTGCTGGTTTTGTTTGAATCAGCAATTTATCTAGTGAGTTGATGAAAAGTTATTTATAAAGTACAAGATGAAGTATTTAATAGTGTTACAAATACAACAGTACAACAATTTTTTTTTTTTATGTACCCTAAAAAGTCCTTACAGTCTTATCAACTTGAAGTTCAAATTGAATGTACACAAATTTTAAGATTTTCCATTTTATGTCAAATCTTAAAAAAAAAAAGAAGCTATAATTACAACAAACATGGATTTTACAACTATGTTCTTTGAAAAAAAAGCCGTTACTAAAGTTTATAATGTTAAATATTAGTTTCAATGTATTTGCAGTCCCTGAAATGAATGAATTTGAAATACTTTCAAATAGAAATAAAATGCTTTATTTATTTATTCATATATATACAAAGATGAGTTTTTTCCGGGAATTCCCGGAATTCCAGAAATTCACTTTTAATTTTCCAGAAATTTCCGGATGTTTTTTGTTATTAATTTGAAAAAAAAATTTATATATTTTTACATAAAATTTTAAATACAACAACTTTTGCATGTAAACAAATGTTTTCTATAATTAAAATTTTTACGAGATCAATTTTCGTAACATTTTTTTTCCTTTTTTTTTTTTTCCTTTTTAATTCATTCAAATTAACTTTTTCGAATATTAGAAATTCCTTTTTGTAAAAAGTTAAATATTCTAAATTCCGTTTTAAAAGTTTACGAAAGTTTTTGTTGTCTTTCACAGGGTTATTCATTCTTATATGCGCGTCTATTCAATTTTATATGTGTGTTAATTCATTCTTATATGCGTTTTAAAAAAGCAATAAGAACAAAAAAAATCATTTAAGCATTTTGTTTTGAAAAAATTTACTTTTTTCAAAACAAATTTTTCTTATTTCCTGGTAAACGAGGTTAAAAATACTTAAAACAGAGACTTTTTACATTCCAAGATGGTTTATTTAATTTAGTATCAGGTCTTAGTTTAATTTTATTACATTATTAAATTAATAAATGAATTAAATGAATAAATGAATAAATGCGCATATAAGAATGAATAAACACGCATATAAAAATCAATAGACGCGCATATAAAAATGAATAACCCTCTAAAACGATCAATTTTTAATAAAATAATTTTCCGGGATTTTCATAGAAAAAAATTTCCGGGATTTTCAAAAAGTCAAATTCTCATCTATGATATATAGAAAAAATATTTAACTACTTTTTGTAGGCAAAAGTTATGAATGGTTGCATTTTATTATGCAAAATAGTAATATATATTTTCAGAATGTAGTCAAGGGTATAAAAATTCAAAAAAAAGGCCCTTCTAGGATAAATAGCGATAGGCCCAAGCGAGATTCTTGCATAGCCTCTGGGGCCAGCACGCCACTGGTTATTCGTTAATAACCGTAAACAACTGGGTTTTGTTTGGATAAAATTTTCCAGTCACTATTAGCCCTAAGCTGTCACAGAAGAGATTGAAATCAAGCAGCTGCCTGATCAAAGCGTTCAAAAAGAACAAGACTGAAGTTTACAGTTTGTCACGATTGAAGTTTATAACTGTGTGGTAAGAAAATAGAGCCACTTTAGACGTGAGATTGTTGGAAAGATCATAAATATTTATGAGGAACAATTCACAAAACCTTGTGGTACTCAAGAAGTTTCTCGAAATGAAGATTGTTTTTAAGGATATTTTTAACACTGCAGTTGAAAAAATGATTCAATAATTAAAAAAACAAAACATTGAATGCATGGTATTGTTTATAATTTGTCACTATAAGAAAATAGTTGTTGTGCAATTTTATATATATATATATATATATATATATATATATATATATATATATATATATATATATATATATATATATATATATATATATATACATATATATATATATATATATATATATATATATATATATATATATATATATATATATATATGTATATATGTATACATATATACATATATACATATATGTACACATACATCTTTTAAAAAAACTGTAGGCAAGTTTTTTTTATGAAAGTATGTATTATGCAAATGTTTTACTAGTTCAACCATCCCACAACATGTATGAGAAAAAGCACAAGAAGTATCTTTGGTTAAATTTAAATTAGTCTATTCTCTTGTTTTTCAGGAGTCATTTTTTTGACCATATCAGCCAAATTTAAATCATTGCTTGATGAAAAAAGAGCATAATATTTATCTCTAGTACAAATATCTTTATAAAATCCTTTAACATTAACAATTTTAAAAAATTTGATAAAAGTAGATGAAAACACTGTGGTGTTATCAATATTTTTAATGGATGGATGAGTTTTTAAAGCAGCTACATCTCAGAATAATCTTGAACAAGTTTTGCAGTTTTATTATTAACTTTAGTTGAAAAATTGCAGTTTTTTAGTTTAGACCATTTTACAATAGCATCTTTTTCAAATTAAAAGTTTTTTAAGATCTGACCATTTTGCAGTTCTTGAAATACCTTTTGTAAAGTAAAACTTAGTTCTTGGCATTTTTCTGTGAGTCAATTGTTGCAAAGTTAGAAGGTTTTTAGTCATTTAGAAGGAAAATGTTATCATTAGTGCACCAAGTATTACAGAGAATCTCCGTAATACTTTGTGCACTAATGATAACATTTTCACTTTGCCTCTCTTTTTTCTCTTGTTTAATCTCAGAATAAACAAGAAAATTAGGATCTAAGCTGTTACTAGTAATGCTTTATACAAAAACTATTTTTCTATTAAATAAAGAAAAAATCACTTAACCCAAAACTGTTTTCACTAAATCATTTAGAGAATTCACAGATTTACCAAAAATGTTACTTTCTTGAATCAATTAGTAGAATAACCTGTCTTTGAGAAATAGAACATTTGTTAAAATATAACTTTAAAAAATCATCATCTCCAACATTTCTAACTTTTGATGTCAACTTTGTCATAAAAGATATACTTGGTAGTTCATAGTCTCACGTAATCGAGAGTAAAGAGTTCTTGACAATGAAAAGTACTCAAATGCCCTAGCAACCATATCAGGAGAATACTTTTTTTCACCAACAAACATCAAGGAGTTCATAATTAAAATCTGTTCAATAGTATTACTTTTCTTGAGATCAATTGGTAAAGATTTCAGATGGTGTATTGCAGTATGGAGATGACTAATACTGTCAATAATATTCATATAATAATAAGAAAAAGGTTTTATGGTGCACTTAACACCAAAGTGATAGCTATCAATGGATAAATAATTTTTTTTTTCAAAGTAAACTTTGGAACAACCATGTTGTCCAGCAGATTAAAGATGTAAACAGTTTTCATGGCTATTTAATATTATTGAGAAGGAAAAAGATTATAAAGGTAGTTTCAGACATTATTTTATTACACAAATCTTCAAAAAAAGAAATATTATCCGGTTTCACTAAAGCCTCCATTTCATCAGGCATAGTACTTATCAAAGATGGCAATTATTTTGTAGTTGGTCTTGGTGGTGCCATTAAAATTTTAAAGTCTTTAGGCCAAGATCTTCACAAATAAAAGTATCTGGGCTATCTGGAATATTATCTCAAGGTATAGCACTTATCCATCTTTTTTGTTCATCCACATTTTTTTTATATGGAAGGCGAAAAACTTTCACATACTTTATGACATCATAGTTACCTCTGCATCCAGTGACATAGTACTTAAAAACTATATTCTTCAAATCTAATTGTTTAGCTCTAAAAATATAATATATATAAAATTAAAATGTATCGCATATTAAATTAAAAGACCTTTTTTTGTTTCTGGAACGCACTGTATTACAAATTATTAATTTGAAATTTATGAAATTAAGACTCGCCTACAGTTTAAATGAAGTTTAACAAAAGTCTAGTTTCATCATTCACAAACTGTTTGATGAATTTGAAAATGTACAATCTTGCTTTGTTATGACCAACGCTGTCCTCCTGACTGTAAAGTTAGTGCCCAAATGAACTGTATTTGTCCTAGAGAGAAAAATTTACCATTAAATGAATTGGTTTATATAAATTTTCTTCATAAACATTTTAGTTATTAAGGTTAATTAGAAAAATTTAACAAGAAAACATTTTTTATATTAGTCTTTAGGTTAAAAAATTATTGCCACATTTTTTTTGATGAAGATTTTTTCTATTCAAAGCTCATTCGCTTAACAAATAGTACTATTCGTCATAGTATTATTCGTTATAGTGCTATTTGTTATAGTACTATTCGTTATTGTACTATTCGTTATTGTACTATTCGTTTTAGTACTCTTCGTTATAGTACTATTCGTTATTGTACTATTCGTTATAGTACTATTTGTTATAGTACTATTCGTTATTGTACTATTTGTTATTGTACTATTCGTTATAGTACTCTTCGTCATAGTACTATTCGTTATTGTACTATTCGTTATAGTACTATTCGTTATAGTACTATTCGTTTTTGTGCTATTCGTTATTGTACTATTCGTTATAGTACTATTCGTTATTGTACTATTCGTTATAGTACTATTCGTTATAGTACTATTCGTTATTGTACTATTCGTTATAGTACTATTCGTTATAGTACTCTTCGTTATAGTACTATTTGTTATAGTACTGTTTGTTATAGTACTATTCGTTATTGTACTATTCGTTATTGTACTATTCATTATTGTAATATTCGTTATAGTACCATTTGTTATAGTACTATTCATTATAGTACTATTTGTTATAGTACTATTTGTTATAGTACTATTTGTTATTGTACTATTCGTCATAGTACTATTTGTTATTATGCTATTTGTTATTGTACTATTCGCTTAACAAATAGTACTATTACAAAAAATTAACAAAAACAGAAAATTTTTAAACGCTTTTAAATAAAGTAACAAATTTTAATGACTGTTTTAAATAAAAAGCATTAAATATAAATTAATTAAAAATTCTTTAGAAAATTATATTTAATTAAAAAAATTTGTGCATTTTATGATTGTTTGAGCACTGCTTTATGAATGATTTTATTTTATGAATAATTTTCTATTTAAATAGTTTTCCTAATATTATAAAATCATAAGAATTCACCTAATATTATAAAATCATAAGAATTCACCTAATATTATAAAATCATAAGAATTCACCTAATATTATAAAATCATAAGAATTCACCTAATATTATAAAATCATAAGAATTCACCTAATATTATAAAATCATAAGAATTCACCTAATATTATAAAATCATAAGAATTCACCTAATATTATAAAATCATAAGAATTCACCTAATATTATAAAATCATAAGAATTCACCTAATATTATAAAATCATAAGAATTCACCTAATATTATAAAAACATAAGAATTCACCTAATATTATAAAAATATTATAAAAGATCAAAGTTTTAGAAATATTCAACCTTAATGTAATTAATAATTAACATAAATAATAAGTTTTGGAGTTTTTATTAGAGTTTTCATTTTTCAGTTTTATATTAGTTGACTTTTTTAATTATTATTTTAATTTCTTAAATTTTTAATTTCTCCTTTATTAGGATTTCTTTCTTTTTTACTGTTTAAGCTTGTTTCTAATTTTTATTCTTTTGTCTGGTTTTTTCAACACATTTTTGAAGCGCTAAAAAGCCATGGTCAAGCTTTTAAAAAAAATAATCATATGCATGGTCAGGTATCAAGTGTGATTGCATGCCTTTCCTGTCCACGCCTGTATAATTATAAAATATGAATTAAGTATAAACATTAGATGTATCAATATTTTTGAAGTCTCAACCCTTACCCTAGTTTTTTTTAATTCAAACTGCCCTGGTTCCGGTCAAATATTAACCCCAGTTGTAACCAATACTATAAATTACAAGTTTTTTTGTTGTAAACTTGTTATACTGATGTTTAGGCAGTAACATGTGCTGATGCATTAGTACAGAGAGTTTCAACTTACAATCGTAGAACATTAGACCTTATAGCAGCATCTTGTTATTTCTACTATTCTCGATCATATGAGCTGGTCAATCGGTTAACAGAAATCAGAGAGTGAGTAATTTTAGAATGGTTATATTAATAGTTTTTTTTTTTAAATTTAAAGTTATTTTTACAAATTTAATACTTTTTAAATTGTCAAAAAGCAGGGAATGTTATCAAGGATTTATTATAGAAATTAAGTTTGATTGTAGTTTTCTTGCTATTGCAATATTTAATATTATTAAATATTTAAAAATTGAACAATTTTAAATATTAACAATATGAGAACAAATATTAAAAAAGAGTGAATTTTTTAAAAAGTATTTACAGAATGTGCTAAAAAGAAATTTTTGCAATTTTGCAATTGATAGTTAAGTAAAAATATTTTATCATTTGGTATTTTTGTATCATTAAACTCTTAGATTGTGAAAAATTACACAAAAGAAGTTACCATTTCCCCCTCCATTTCCCTGTCCAAATCCATCCTTATAACAAATAGCAAAGATCTTACACCTTCACCTATCCTTATTGAATTTGCAAATTTAAGCAAAGTGACAACATTTAGAACTAAAAAAATTAGAAAAACTTTGATATAAAAGTTTGGTATAAATTATTAATGAAACATAAAAAGAATGTTAATATTATTAATAATATATTTATTGGCTTTAATTTTTTAATACTCTATTTTTTTATATAAGAAAATTAATCCATTAAACTTAATTAAACACTTGAAAATTTTACAATATACTTCAAGCATTGATATTTTGTAATATGATATTTTATATACTTTTATATGCAACAAAGAAAGTATTTTTTATTTTTAAATAAGCCATAATATTTTTTTCTGTATTAAAAGTTGCACCATATAAGTTTCTTCACTTTCTTTGACTAATGTGCTGTTTAGGGGAAGCAACTGATTATCCAGGACTTTTTATACTGGTTATGTCTCAACCAATTTGTGGAACAACCTGCTCCTTGCCCATATATTTTAAGCCAGATCCTTACTAAAAGTTGATGCTTGACTGTTTCCACAACAATGTTAGGATAAAAATTTTTGGATAGTCTATAATGGACAAATGCTGTTTTGTCTTACTTAAAGTAATAATGGACAAAGGTTGACCAGACTAAAGTTCAAACCTAAATGATGATTATTTGAAATGACAGACACTTATCATTTGATAAATGACAGACACATATCTTTTGATAAATATAGAATAAGAATGTGAATAAAAATATTTTCAAAAAAAAGATTTTCCCAATCATCAACAAACCAATGGTTTCCAGCCTTTTATAATTTTTTTTTTTGACTAAACAATGACACACCAATCCCTGTTTTTACTGAAAGTGGTATGGTCTGAACAACATCAGCATGTGGATAAGCTTAGTTGATTCTTTTTGTGGCTTTTTTTAGTTCTCCAGGAAGATGTTCATGTTTTACTTTTTTTCCCACGCTTCTTTGGGTTTATTGAGAAATCTTAAAAATTTGTGCAATTTTTCTTTGAAAATATTTTTGTATTTAGGAAAAGACACTCCACAAATTTTTGTTGGAGCAGGCTCAAATTTTCTTCTGAAATTGATAAATTAAATTTGTAACTTCAAAAAATGAGTAGATTTAGATATCTTTACATAAATATGGAAAAAGTATATATAATCTTTTATATAAAGATAAGCACTTACTGATTATTATTGTCTTCACAAAATGAGTTCATAAAATAAAACAAGCTTCTAGTTAAAGTAAAATTATCAGAACTTTAATCAAACTAACAAATAAAAAAAAAAAAAATTCCAAGGTCACCTGCTTGACTGACAGATGATTGTTGATGTCCAGATTTATCAAATAATATAATTTTTAATAAACTTAATTAGGAATTAATTTTAATAAATTTAGTAAATTTTAATAAAACTTAATTAGAAATTTTGCAAAAAGAAATGTTTATCTAATCAGATAATAATTTGATAAGATAAATATAATGAGAATATAAGCTATTAAGCTATAAGCCATCTATTATCAGAACCATTCAAGATATTTTTTTATCTTATAATTTGATTTGTGAAAAAGTCTGTTTGAAAGTCTTTTACAATTTGTCAATTACCTTTAATGGTGTATAAGAGATTATATACACATCAGATGGGACTTGAATAGGACCAAATAGAATTTACAATTTTGCTTGTGATGACAAAATATTTTGTCTATAGATTTTGTATAACCTGATCAAGTTATATGTCCATTTAGTGGTTGTTATGTTCAGTCCTTCAGTCTTTTTTTCATATGTATAATGCATTAGTTCTGGAAAGAAACCATGCTTGGATAGAAAATTCTAGGTTCAGAAAGCTGTTTTAATACATCTTTTGTCTCATGTTTGAACAAGCATGTGATTGTTTCTAGCATTTTGTTGACTTTGGCTGTTGCTGTTTAATTTGTTTTCCCATTTGATTTGATTCATCATTTAGTATTTTATGCATTTACTTTATATTAATAATAAAAACAATACACAAGTTTAGTTTTTTTTTAATTAAAAAAAAAAACTGCTGAAAAAAATGTATGTGTTTATTATATGAATGAATGAAAAAAACTATTTTTTGAATTTTCTTACCATATTAATAAAAAATTTATATTTACATTACAAATATTGTAGTTATATTTATAAGTAAATATATGCATATATCTATGTATGTTTAGAGGAAATTTAATATAAAAGCCTATTAAATGAAAAATGATTTTTTTAAATTTTATTTTTAAAATCTTTTTATAGTTCTAGTTGACAGTTCTATTGTAACTGGTAGTTTTTAAACAGTTTTTATAGTGTTTCTTTAACATCTTGCCATTTCATAAGTGGGTCATATATAGGTATTATAAACATTTATGAACTAATTAAAAATAATTTTCGAGTGAGTTTATTCTCTGTTGTGCTTTTTGCACTTGTACTATTGCCTGATATTAATAGACCACAAGTGAATTGACTTGTGGTCTATTAATATCAGATTACAAGTGAAAAGATCAAAACCACAAGTAAAAAGACCAAAAAGATTACATGTGAAAGCACAAAAGCCAGTGCAAAGGTTTTTTTTTTTTGGTATATACGCTACGTTTAAAACCAAGAACAAACAGTAGTTGAAAGAAAAATTTTTCCATTTGTTTTTTATCATCATATTTCATAAGTCATTTAAAAATTAATTTAGTTAAAAATTAACTTTGAAATAAAAACCTCAATAAATGATTGCTGCTTAAGAGAAATTTGTTTATTGCCATACTAACAGGAAGTGCTGTGGAAGTTCTACAGTGGTGTTTAATTCAGAGGTTTATTTCACTAAAGATTCATTCTGCCATTGCTACTCTTTTGCATCAGTTTACATGGTTTTTGCGTTGATCTGTTTAACTATTTTTTTTATAGGATTATCTTATAATGTTAAGAGTTCTATTTTCAATAATGATTTTCTTTTCTTGAATACTAAAAACTTTTATTCAAAAATATATTCTCATTATTTCAATCAGGTTTTTCAAATTCAACCATTACATATTATTTTTTAGTAAAAACTAGCTGTCCGAACCCATAAAATATGGGTCTTGGGAAGTCTATTCAACGCTGGCCATTTCTATACTATTCCTTACTTCAATATTTTTAGTAAGTGGTTGAAAGACTGTGCATATTTTCTACCTTTTAAAGCTATAAAAAGAATAATATTTAATATAATTAATTTTAAAATTTTTTATATGCTTCAGTAGTCATTGCGCGAACCACTATTTTTTAGAGGTGCGGACATTAGAAGCAATTATTTTAAATAAAATTTAGAATACTCGCTTGAAATATGGTGGTTAATTACAATCTGTATAAAGCGTTTAAAAAACATTTGGAATTAGACTTAAAAATATGTGGAATGATGAACTTACCATGACTCTTATTGTACAGGTTATGTTAAGTCTATTCTACATTTCTACCGAACATTTCTGTACTTATTTTTTATATAGTCATTTTATTTCAATAGTTTTTAATAAGTGGTAGAAATCAAATGTCTGTCAAATCTTTATTTTGAGTTAATGTAAATTTAAACTCAAAATACTTACAATAGGAAGTTATAAAGAATTGCTTTATACCTTTTTATGTAAAATTGTAAGCTTCTTTTATAAAAAATGGGTATGAATTTTTTTTCTTTGTTAATTTTCTGTTGAGTTTTTATTGGATATTTCTCTAGAACATCCACAATTTATTAAGACCTTTGCCTCGTTAATTAATTTTGAAGAAAATAGAAGTTTAAACCTAAAATCTTTTTTCCTATATAAAAAAAAAGTTGTCCTTTTAATGTGTGTTAAACTTGTGGAGACTTGACTAATTACTTAACCACATTAATAACATATCTCATAATGCGACAAATAAGCGAATTTTTATCCCTGTTTTGATCTTTATAGAAATTTTAAGCTTTTTTAAAACTCTCTCCTTTTTGTTTGTTATAGTATATAATATCTTTATATATGTTATATATATAACTTTAATAGAATTTAAAAATGTTTTATTTTGTATTTTAAAAAGTTAGAAAAAATTTAAAAAACAATAATGTGCAAGCGACAGGATTTGAACCTTTGTATTGTGCTTTGGAAGCGCAACAAGCTAACCACTTTGACCATTGAGGTACACTAATCAGCCAATTTTTAACACTATTTAATAAACAAAATTCAAAAGAAGAAATAAATTTATAAAACGGCAAATAAATGCTATAAATCAAAATTAAGCAGACATTGCTGCAATGCAATTTTTAAATAAAAGACTTTATAAAAGTATATCTATAGAACTTCAAAAATATTTTGTTTTTTTATAAAAATCGATGAAGATTAAAAAAAAAAAGTGGAAGCATAGAGATTTGACCACAGCAGTTCACTTAAGAAATGCTGCGAGCTAACCACATCGGCCACTATAGCATATTGTCCGATAAATGTTTTAACATTATTTAATATACATAAGACTTAAAAAATGGCAGTTAAATGCTTAAAATCAAAATTAGGGAGATGTTGCCGCAATAAATTTGTAAAACTTTTTATATAATTTTTAATATTACAAAATTTGAAGCTTGCATAAGTTAGATACTTTCATAGACTTTCCTTCACATTTTCTTTTTAAAAAAGTTCTGCGACTCTTTTTCATCATTAACTGGGATGAAATGGAAGCCATAAGTATTAATATCCGATAGATATTTCATTCATATCTAATAGATATTTTAAACATTATATTTAAAATTAATTTTAATTAACAAAAAAATATTTAATTAATATATATATTTTTATACATATTTAAGTTTTTTTTTTATATTAAAAATTGTTTTTATAGATTTTTGCATGCAAGGTTAAGAACAACAACCCTGAGACATGATATTGATGGTCAGGTAAAGTTCTTTTTTTTTTTAAATACATATAGTATTAGATTACAACTTTTCTATCATTATTAATAATCACACACATTGTTTTATTGAAACATTGGTGTTGTTACAAATTTTTTACTGTAGATTAACAAATTTATTTTTTTAATCCAAGTATTCTTACATTGACAAACAAAAAGAAATTTTGAAGTGGTGCCAGGGCTTGATTTTGACTGGGATTGTAACCAGTTTTTGGTAAAATAAGGCTGGGTTTGTAATCAGTGCTAATTAACTGTGATGAATCTTCAATTTTTGGGTTGTGAATAGATTATAATGTCCTCAATCTTTAAAAAACATGATCTGATATGAACTGTTGCTAATGTACTTATTGGGGTGTTACTGTTATGATACCTTATCATAACAGTAACACCCCAATATCATAGTGACACCTCAAACAATAAGAAATTGCATCAGAGAACAAGGTTATAGTAGTAGAACTCGAAATAAACTTTATTAAACTGTTAAAAAAAATATGCTGGTATTATATTTGAAAAAAATTTGTGGCGAGATAAGATTAAAATACATCAGATGGAGTCCAGAAAGTGTGGCGAAAACACGAAGATGCTTATAAATTAAGTTGTTTGCATAGTATTGTAAAGCATAGAAGAGAAAATGTGATGGTTTTAAGTTGTATTAGTTAGAAAGTAGTGGGGAAATTGATGTTTGTTAATGATAAAATGGATGCTTCAATGTATCGTGAAATTTTTAAAGCCAACTTGGCATCATCTACTAAAAAACTGAGAATAGAAAATGATTTCATATTCTAGCAGGGAAATAAACCAATGCATATTGCTAAGAAAATGAAGTTATACTTTGATACAAATAACCTTATTGTTTTGAATGGCTCTCAAAATCTTTTATCCTATAAAAAATTTGTTGGACATAAAAATTGCTGACTGAGTATTTAGACATTAAGACATCTTGAAAGAATTGATAAGTGCATGCGATAATATAACAACATTAGGGACCCAAAATTTGGTCAAATCTATGCCAAATAATCTAACTGAGGTCATCAAGACTAAAGGAAGCCCTGTTCGATATAAATTCCATAATGTTTGATCAATTTGATGCTTGTTATTTTTAAACTGTACAGTTATTTTTTTCATCATAACTTGTTTTATTAAATTTCTAAACTTCCTATCTACAAAATAATTTATTTTTTATATATTTTGTTATTGATATTGCAAATATCAATAACAAAATATATTAAAAAATATATAAAAAAATGATAATGCATTTATTTTTAAAAACTTGACCTTTTTTTTAATACAAAAAGTTTATATTATTTGTATTAAAAAAATGTCCAGATAAAATCTATTACTTATGAATCTTTTTAAAGCAGTTTCTTTTATTGTTTACACATAAGAAACTTTTACAAGTGTTACACTTGAAAAATGGCCTGGCTTCAATCTTCTTTTTTAAACAGACTTTTGTTTTCCATTGTGCTCTGGCCAATAAATTCCGCCATTAACTCATAAAGATTTTCTTTATGAGTTAATGGCGCTTCCTAATAATTTGACTTCTTCTTTTGTTAGTATTAAGTCTGTTGGAAGGAGATGATGACATTAGACTGCCAAGATTTGGTGGCTTTCCTTTTATAACTAAGGATTGTGCAGCTGATCTTTAAAAGTCAAAAAGACTGATATTTTCATTGGTCTTTTTTTTGTAAACAACATAAACATTACATATCGTTCAGTTAACAAGTCCGGAATAAATTCCACACAATACAAACAAAGCATATCAGTTTTATCAACACCTGGTGTTATAATCTTTTACTGCTTTTGTATCACAAGTTATTGATACTGTTCCATCCTTGTTCTTTCTCAATATTTTTGATATATGTTCCATGATGGTTTGAAATGACATGAACGGGTTTATTATCTTTCAATATAAAAACTACAATTCCATCTTTTGATGTTCAATAATCAAAGTTGCCTTATTTATTTTTTATAAAATCTTCTGGTAGGTACTTTCTTTTTGTATGTAAAGTTCTACAACTCAGAACTTGAAAAGAGACTAAGTATTCCATAAGTAGAACGCAATTGAAGTAATTATGTACAAAAAAAATCATAAATTACTTTTTCTCCTAAACCAAAAAATTTATGCATTGTAGATCTACTCTACAATCATATTTTCCTTGATACACCTCAAATTTCTATAAGTAGCCGTTCATATCTGCTAAAGACAAAAGTTTATATTTATATCAACTTCAGTCTTTAGCAGATATGGATGGATTATATTATAGGATATATTTGTCCCGTCAGAGCACAAAAATATCTTAATTATTTTGTAATCTTTTTAAAGTGTTTTTACATTTTAATTATTCCCCTACTAATACAGGACACATCAATAGCAGTTTTTTTTCTGACTATTTTATAAAATGGGTAATTTAAAATAACTGTACAAATAATTTACAATAATAATGGTATAGTTCATTTATAATAAATGATTGTATAAATGTTAACTTATAATTTAAAAAAAAAAAATGTTTAGTACAAATAATTTAAATTATTATTATAAATGTTTGGTATTTATTAATATAATATGTTTAATTTATGTTTAAAATATTTAAGTTATTGAATTATTATAAATAATATTTATTGTCTATAAATTTTTATAATTCTTTATAAAGCTACATTTAAAATGTAATAAAATTTATTACATATTTAGGCATTACTTTTGAATTTGCTGTTACGCAATTATATCCACTACAATTTGTATGATCAGGTTAAGATTATTTTTTTTATAATGAAAGTGCAAGTTTATATTTTAAGAGCTTTGTTATGCTTTTATTTTTACAAGTGTGTTGGTGCATAAAATTTGAAATCTCAAAATTGCTGAACCTAAAAGGTTAATTTTCTTGTCTGACAAAATCTATGCATATTGAAAAACTGGACTAAGTTTTGACCAAACACATATTGTATTTTATTTTTTAATTCTTATTATTTTTTTAGTTATCATTTTATTTATTTTTTTATAGTTTTATAGTTTTTTATATTTTTATAGTTGTCATTTATTTATTTATTTTTTAGTTAGTTTACACTATTAGGCAAAAATATTTTTTAAATGAACATCAATATTGATGTGCACTGGGGACATCAATATTGGTGTGCACTGGGGACATCAATATTGATGTTCACTGGGAACATCAATATTGATGTGCACTGGGGACATCAATAAATAGCTAAAACTGAATTAAAACTTTTTGGGGGATTAAGAGTCACTGTTTCTCAGAAGACTTTTTTGAAAAAGGTGGCCAGCTATTGTTAAATATGAAGTTAAAACTGTACCATATTCAAAATAGCCATATGAAATTTTGCAGTTGTTAATTTTTAGCCTGCTAGATGTATTTTATAGATGTCCAAAACTGTAAAAGTTTTGCCATAAATTATTTATTTTTATATATTTTTCTTATGTTCTCTTTAATTTTCAAATTTAGAGTTTTATAAGTATTTTTCAGAATTATTTTTCATAGGCTGACAAGTTAGTTTCTAAATCTATCTTTCCAGAGAATGCTACTAATAATGAGTGGGCACGTTATTTATACTATTTAGGTAATAATAATTGCTTTCTTTGGTAAATCTAACATCTTTTTTTTTTTTAAACATGTTTTATATGTTTTTTGTTGTAGGATTAATTAAAGCAATACAACTCGATTATTCTGAGTCTCATAAACACTTGATGAATGCCATACGCAAAGCTCCACAACAGGTAGCTGTTGGATTCAAGCAGCATGTAAGTGGTTTTCCATTTCCTAATTTTTAAAACAATATTCTTTTTATTTTACAATTTATTTTGTTAACAGTTCTTTATAACATTTTTATTAATAAATTAAACTTGAAAAGAAAATTGCAAGAAATAAAAAAAAGCTATTAAAATAAAGATTAGAATATGATTATGTTAATCAATAAAAAAACAATAGTTTTAAAAAAGTCAAGTGGAAAATTTAAACATAAAAAAACGAAGAAAAAAAAAATTACAGATAGTTCAAAATAAAAGTTTTACATTTAGTATTAGGTTAATTAGTTCACTAGTTCTAATTAACTTTAAGTGTTTGTTTATAAATAAAAAAAGTTAAAGGCTTTATTTGTAGTTGATAATCTATTGGGATATCCAAGGGTCATATCTTAGATAAACCTTAAAAAGTAAGTTTTAATTTATTTAAAATTTATAAAACAATTTATTTATCAAGTTATTAACAACTTGATAATGGCTTTTTTTAATGCCATTTGTTTTCTTGAAGGAAAGTTCTAAAAACGAAAACCTAATCTAATTGCATAAACTAAATCATTTATAAAACCCTGCAGTTAATGGCACAATTATTCTTTAAACCAAGTATTTTCGATAACAGAAATAATTATGCAGGTTTGTGAGATCATTATAACCTCACTGCCAGAATTACCAAAATCATAAAATCATAAAATCATAAAATTACCAAACAAAAAAAAAACAAAAAAAAACAAGAACATGTGTGTATCTCATAAACAAATTATTTATATCTCCATAGTTAACTTGTTTTGGTAAGTTTAGTTTACTCTAAACTCATACTCTTTAATTTGAACGCAACATCTCTTGGAGGTTTATGATTTAATATTAAATCAGTTAGAGTCAAATTATGCTTTAATTAGTTGTATTAACAGTGATTCAGAGCTATAATTAAGGTTCCAAGTGAACTTTTTCTTATCTGCATATCTGACAAGGGTAGATACAGGGTTGTTCCGTTTACATTATTTTGGAAACTAATGTTTTGATTTAAATTTTAAAATTTTTTTTTTATTTTACTGACTTTTATTTTTATGTTTTTTATAACTTGATGTGGGTATATAACATATGACAAAAATGCTAAACTTTATGGATCTTTATTTTGTATGTTTTGTTTATTTTGTATATTGTATATTATTATGGATCTTTATTTTGTGTAACTTTAATGTTTCAAGGATATATATTATATTAGAAGGTTTCAATTTTAAGTTAAAAAGCAATGCAAAATAGTTAAAATGGTTTATAATCTGTTTTCCTACTTTAACTTCAAGTTAAATAGACAAAATTATTTTATAATGCGGAATCAGATCCACTGCAGGATCACCAACAAAAGTTTTCTACACACCTTGTATAAATTTTTACTTCAAATTAATTTTTAAGTAAAATGTTTGTAAAAAGACATCATATAAGTATCATAAATTGGACAAAGTGGCTAATATTTGTTGGTTTATGTCTGACCAATGTTGAACAATGTTGAACAATGTCTGACCAACGTTGAACAATGTTGAACAATGTTGAGCAATGTTGAACAATGTTGAACAATGTTGAACAATTTTGAACAATGTTGAACAATGTTGAACAATGTTGAACAATGTTGAACAATGTTAAACAATGTTGAACAATGTTGAACAATGTTGAACAATGTTGAACAATGTTGAACAATGTTGAACAATGTTGAACAATGTTGAACAATGTTGAACAATGTTGAACAATGTTGAACAATGTCGGCTATTTTGAGCCCTGATAATTATTTGTGTATTTTAATGGAAATAGTACAAACTTATAAAAATATAAAATTAAATGAAATAAGGTTAAATGATACTACAGTATCCAATCGTACCAATTTACCACATCATTGATGGTCATTAGAATATTTTATTTTACAATTGTCTTCAGGAATGTCTGGTCTGTTGACATTGTTGTTACAAAATCAAACTTTAAAGAGTTATAAAAAGTTGAAACAAAATCATTATTAACAATTAATGGCCACTTTTACTCTTAGCAACTGTAACAATTAAATGAATGACCAATTTTATGTTTAGCAATTGTAACATTTGAATGAATGACCAAGTTTATGTTTAGCAATTGTAACATTTGAATGAATGACCACATTTATGTTTAGCAATTGTTATATTTGAATGAATAACCACATTTATGTTTAGCAATTGTAACATTTGAATGAATGACCACATTTATGTTTAGCAATTGTAACAATTAAATGAATGATCACATTTATGTTTAGCAATTGTAACATTTGAATGAATGACTGCATTTATGTTTAGTAATTGTAACTATTAAATGAATGATCACATTTACGTTTAGCAATTGTAACATTTGAATGAATGACCGCATTTATGTTTAGCAATTCTAACAATTAAATGAATGATCACATTTATGTTTAGCAATTGTAACATTTGAATGAATGACCGCATTTATGTTTAGCAATTGTAACAATTGACTGTTAATGTTTGTTATTAAATTATATTTATTGAACATTTCAAGAATAAAGTTGTTTACAAGCAAATTATACTGTTTTTAATTGTTATTCAATAGTTTTTTATTTATTTAAAATTTTTTTTTTTTTTAATCGCAAATTTCTGTAAAGTCATTTAGTTTTTGAATAATCATTAAACATGGCATTATAAAATGTTATTTGTAATAAAAAAAAATTCACTTTAACTTCTCTTGTTTTTATAATAAATAAACATGAAAATGTAATAATATTTAATAGAATGAACATAAATTTGAAAAAGTATTAATAGCTATTATGACATTTTAGTTTTTTTCTTCATAAAAGATCTGATATGCTTGCTTCTTTTCTTTGCAGGTTAATAGATTGGCAGTTGTTGTTCAGCTGCTGTTAGGTGAAATACCAGATCGCAAAATATTTAAAGAATCAATTCTCAAGAATACGTTAGTACCATACTATCAGCTTACACAAGGTGTTACTTTGTAAATGTGGTTTATGGAATATTTGAAATTTTAAAAATGCATATTTAATAATAAATTGACATATCAATAACTGTATAATTATATATAATGATGAAAAAAGTTATATATAATGTGTGTGAACTGGGATGATTCGTATTTAATTGATTTTTCAAAATTGAACTTTCCCATTAGTTAAATAACAAACTCTTTATGCTAAAGTAAGGATTTTTGTTTCTGATAATTATTACGGTTCCTACCAGTTTCGTTTGGGGCTATATACTTATGGTTAATGTCCCCAAATAATTTAAAACAGCTTTATCTATTTTATTTAGTATAGTTAATTACTTGTATCATTTAGTTGTACATGTTTTATTGTGCATATTTTTACATAATTAATTATTGAATCAAGCTGCTTAATTTCAAAAATTAATGAAATATGAATCGTCTGAAGTTGACATAATAAATATATATTTTATATAAATACTTACTTTTGCTGGTTTAGGTTGTAAAAAATATTAAAAATAATTTTTACATGTTATTTTTCAAAATGCTGATTTAAATCCAGACAGTTTTTTCTCAAAGGTAAAAAAGAATCAAAATAAATAATAATCAGAAACAAATAGTTAGTAATATTTAAGACAAACTTTAGTATGAAAAATAAAGACATTTTTAATTACTTATTTATAAAAAAATTTTGTGAATAAATATGCAAGTTTTATTAACAAAGGAGCAAAAAATCAAGTTCACATATTGATTTATAAATATTATTCCAAGCACAATTATGTTAAGCTAAATAGAAAATTTATAAGTTTAAAAGAAATGGGATAAAATATGTAGTGAAAAAAGAGAAATTTATAAATCATAATGAGAAATGATTAAATATGGAATTTATTGTAAATAAATCTCTACAGCAAGCTAGAATAAAGTATTTGCAATGAGGTGTACCATCAAAGTCATTTGAAGATCTTTCAATAAAGTCTAAGAAAAGAAGATTGTCAGAGTTTACTAAAGTTACCTCAGAAAACCTGCTTACTGCAGAAAGCTCTAATTTTTAACAAAAAAGCATTATTAAAAGATGCCCAGGTTCGAAAATATTTAATGGAAAGTAAAATTGATGGATTCTGCAATATATTATGCTCTAAAAATCTACTCAACAGAAAAAGGTAAGTTTTAGGGTAAGTTTTAGGGCTGACTATCAAACTATTTGTCAAAGGGCTTTAGATAAAGGCTGCACATTATACTCTGCTTACAATTATATTGTGAAAATAAAGTATAATTATTTTTGTGAAGCTAAAAATGATTGTATTCCAGATTCTAGAATTGTTACATCAGACTACAGTATTTCTGTAAATCTTCAAGAAATAATGGATAAAATTGCAAATAGGATTTTTAAAGTTATTGATAAAATCTGAGCAGAAAATATTAAACAAAAAACTGAAAATGAAGAGAACAGACTGCTAGTTGCTGTTGAAGAATCTTTGTTAATTTTGTACAATATCTATGCAACATAAAGTACAGCAAACTGATTTACATCTTCAACCCAATATTGTTATTTTATTAATAGATTAAAAAATTACTTTCAAATTTATTCTGCAACTTCAATAAAGCTGCTGTTTGTTTTGGTTAGAAAATGATTATCTGGTTTTGTTTTGTCTAAACATCTTGAAAATCACATTCTTGTTAATTATGATTTATTTATTGTATATATATATATATATATATATATATATATATATATATATATATATATATATATATATATATATTTGGTATATTTTGGATATATATATATATATATATATATATATATATATATATATATATATATATATATGTCATATATATGTCAAATATATATATATATATGTCATATATATGTCCAAAATATACCACAAATTTTCTATAGGATTCAAGTCCGGACTTTGAGATGGCCATTCCATAACATTGATGTTATTTGTGTCAAAGTATACCTTTGTTTTCTTAGCAGTATGTTTTGGACCGTTATCCTGCTGCAGTATAAAATCCTTTCCCATTCTCAATTTTGTAGTAGATTGTCGCAAGTTGGCTTTAAGAATTTCACAATACATTGAATCATCCATTTTTTCATCAATAATTGTCAAGTTCGCTACCCCTTTCCAACTCATACTACCCCAAACCATCACATTTCCTCCTCCATGCTTTACACTACCTTGCAAACAACTTAATTTATAAGCTTCTTCTTTTTTTTGCCACACTTTTTGAACTCCATCCGATGAGACAAGGTTGTATTTGGACTCATCTGACCACAAAATTTTTTTCAAATAAGATATCGGCATTTGTTCGTACTTCTTTGCAAATTCTAATCGACGTTTTATTTGTTTTGAAGTTAAAAAAGGTTTTTTTCGAACTACTCTACCTCTATATCCTTGTTCTCTAATACGATTTCTAATTGTTTGAGGGGTTACTGTGATATTGTGATCTTCTTGAACTTTTAAAGCTAATTTAGCTGCCGAAACAAATCTATTTTTCTTCACATTAATGATGATATTGCGATCAATTGCACTAGTGGTCTTGCGTTTTCGTCCTCTGCCAGCCAAACTAGCAACAGTTCCAATCAGATTATGCTTCTTAACAATTGAGGACACTGTCGTCGACAACTGTCGTAAAAGGAATTCCTGTTTCTTTTTGGATCTGACAGTAAGATTTTCCTTGATTTTTTAAATCAACTACGAGGCTTCGTTGATGAAAAGACAAATTTTGTTTTCTTGACACCATTTTGCTGAAACACTATATTTTATTTCTAGAACAAAAGTGTATTTAAAAAATTACTATTTTTAATTTTACTAACTAGTTTAATCGTCCAATTCGCTTAATTTATGCTAAAATAATGACATTTTGTCAGTGTACGATTATTTTTTTTGCAGTCAATTATATGCATCATTAGATCAATTGTGTAAAATTCAATAGGTATGAAAAGCAATTAACTCGCCAATACACAAATAAATTCTTAAAACAAAACTTGATAAGATATCTAAAAAAAATTTTCAAATATTTTAACGAAAAACTAATTTTTTTGATGCAATCTTTAAAATTACGATTTTTTTTCAAGTTTACAATTATTTTTTTTGCATACTGTATATATATATATATATATATATATATATATATATATATATATATATATATATATATATATATATATATATATATATATATATATATATATATATACATATATATATATATATACATATATATATATATATATACATATATATATATACATCATTTATCAAATTTTTTTCATTTTACACTGTGTTCATCTATAAAAACTCATCAGAAATGAACAATTCATTTCTGAAGAGTCTTTATAGATAAAACACAGGGTAAAATAAAAAAAGTTTGATAGGTTTCTCCACTTTATATATATTTGTATATATAATGCAATCTGCATGAGTCTCCTAGCAGCCAGTGTTTTATTACAATGTTAATTTCTTATTAGCTGTTAGAACTGGTAATTTGTTGCTGTTTAGTCAAGTTCTTGAACAACATAAAGAAAAGTTTTTGCTGGAAAAAACTTACACTCTTATCATAAGGTAAAAGTTAAAATACATTGTAAAGGTTATTTTTGAATCTAGTTAAACAAATGCATGGAGTTTGATCAGTGGTCAGAATCATTTGTATTTTTTTTTATATTTTATTTGTTTTTACTTTTATTATTTATTATTTATTTATACTTGCAGTTTATTTATTTTATATTTTTGGTTGTTAGGTTACGCCATAATGTTATTAAAACAGGTATCAAAATGATAAGTTTATCATATTCACGGATATCACTTGATGATATTGCTTTTAAATTGGGTCTGGATTCTGCTGATGATTCTGAATTCATTGTTAGTAAGGTAAAAATTTGTAAAGTAAAAATTGTTTCTTTAAAAATTTTAATGAATATTTAAATAATAATAAATTGAATAAATTATAAGCTTATATAAGGAACATTTTGCACACTTTTAAAAGTGCGCAAAATACATAAGGATGTTACACAAGTTATAAAATGTGTGCAATGAATTTTAATTTTTTTTTAAACAAAAGTTGTCCATTCATTTCAGAAATACTCTGGAAAAATATCAATTCTTTAGGAAATTATCTTGAGGCGCCTCATGACCTTTGAAAATTTATAATAAATTTTGACGTTTTTTGTTAAGATAAGAACTATAATTTTTACAATCAACCAAGATAGTTACAAGTTGCCTTTGAGAACTTTAATAGGTTAGTTACAATCATGAGTAAGACCATAATTAGTTTTGTTTATTTTATAATTTCTACTGATTAAACATTTATTGAAGACAATTGGGATAAAAATAAAATGCTAAAATATTTTGTCTAACAAGGTTTTTGTATGAAAACATAGTAATTATGAAACTGTTGTTATATTCCAAGAATAAATTAGTGTGACTTTCTGATAAAAAAGCAGCAAAAATATATTGTATAACATAAGTAAAAAGCTTTTACTCCATAAAAAACACATTGAAAATGCTAAAAGGTTTTACTCCATGCTAAAAGGTTTTACTCCATGCTAAAAGGTTTTACTCCATAAAAAACACATTGAAAACGCTAAGTATTTTAAGTATTAAATATGTTTAATTATTCCTATGTTATTTTCAAACTGATCTCTATTTTGTCAAAAGGTTTTTTAGGGAATGTTTAATTTGAACTCAATTGCAAACAAATAACTAACATGTTAAACTTTCAAAACATTTCTCTCTAATTCATAGTAATTTAATCTAATAATTTCTAATAAAGCTAATCTAAATAATTTCCATCTAGTCGGTGACTTACAGGCAGCTAAAAATGTTGAGCTTGCTCACTGGCTAATTCCATGACAGCACTTGCATCAAATAACTTTTTTTTTTTTTTTGGGGGGGGGGGGGGGGGGAGAGGGGGTACGCACAAAATTTGGTTTATAATATTTAAATGATCTCAATCATGTAAAATACTTAGACAATAGTAGAGAATCTAAAGCATTTGTGGTATAAATAATGTAGTTATTCAAAACAGCTCAACCAAGCAGAAAAAAAAACACCTTTTTAGTCCACTTTAGAATCCCTCTTTAATGTCTTGTCGTCTCCTAAATCCTCCCTACACATAGCAAGGTAATAATCCTGAATGAATTAAGGGTGATGAATGGTTTATTTTCTGCTATTGTCAGAGTCATTGATGCTAGCCTTGGCTTAAATTGAGAGTGAAATGGGTTTTCTTATGCTGTCTTGATAGACTAAGCTGGTGTTTATTTTTTGTTTTTAAGTTATTTTTAAACATAATGCAGAAATTTACTATTCATTCTAACAGTGCCAGTAGCTGTAATATTTTCCTGATAAGGATTTTCAACAAATCTACTGGAATGTAAAAGTTATCACACTAAAGTGCAAAAGTTTTCCACACTTGTTACCCACACTAGTTACCACCAGTTAAAAGTTGGTTTTAGTCAAAAGTGGTGTTAAAAGGACAAGTTCATTGGTTGCTTATACACACTGGTATATATTTTCAATCAGCAAAGGTAACCTTTAGATAAGCATTATTGTCTATCTGACAAACACCAGGCTTAAATACCAAATCTTGCTTGTATTTTAATGAGCTTGTATTTTAATGCTTTAAATTATTTGCTTAAATTTGCTAAAAATACTTTAATGCTTTAAATAATTTGCTTGTATTTTAATACTTGTATTTTAATTGGGAAAAGTGGGGAGCTTAACATATTTTAAGGGTTAAACAATAAAATTTCATAGACCTATGGCTTATTATTTAATTTACATGCAGTTATAGTACTCTAAAAAAGTTTTTAATTGATTTTTAAATCCACCATTTGTAATACAACATGTTTGTCTGTCTGCTTGTCAAGATTTGTGTTAACCATAGTAACAACACAGACACAAAAAAAGAGTAACCTCGTTAAATGCAATTATCCCTTAGCCTTGGAAAGATAACTTTAAAAAAAGAAAGTATAGCCTATAATATTAGTCTAGTGTTGATAAAATTTTAGGTTTTCAATTTTAATACTTGTTTAAAATTTTCATTTAGGCCATTCGTGATGGTGTTATAGATGCCACTATTGATCATGAGCAAAAATGTGTACAATCTAAGGTATTTTTTATAAAAATAAATTTTTTTTTATATATATTTATATTTGTGTGTGTATAATATATATATACATATATATTTATATAATATATATATATACACACACACACACACACACACACACACACACACACACACACACACACACACACACACACACACACACACATATATATATATATATATATATATATTTATATATATATATATATGTGTATATATATACATATATGTATGTATGTATGTATATATATATATATATATATATATATATATATATATATATATATATATATATATATATATATATATATATATATATATATACATATATATACATATATACACATATATATATACATATATATATACATATATATATATACACACATATATATATACATATATAAATATATATACATATATGTATATATATATGTATATATATGTGTTGCTACATCGACTATCTTACAGCCTGACTTGCAATGGAGTGCTGCTACATCAACTGACAAATAGCCTGACTCGCAAGGGAGTGCTGCTACATCAACTGACAAATAGCCTGACTCGCAAGGGAGTGCTGCTACATCAACTGACAAATAGCCTGACTCGCAAGGGAGTGCTGCTACATCAACTGACAAATAGCCTGACTCGCAAGGGAGTGCTGCTACATCGACTGACAAATAGCCTGACTCACAAGGGAGTGCTGCTACATCGACTGTAGGTTTGGTTTGAGCAGGCAGTATATATATATATATTAGGTCACTGTCTAAACATACTTTTTTTTTCTGAACACATTGGCTCACTTTGGAATTTATGTAATACATATATATAATCACAGTTCCAAAAAAATTAGCTAATTTGGATGAAAGGTAATTTTGGGAAATCACTTCAAAGTTTTCGACTATTTGTCTTTTTTCTCAAAAAAATTAAATGAGAGTGTTCACAGAGAGTTCTGATTTTGATTCGATTTAGTTCAGTTTAATGGAAGCTAGAGTTTTTATCTCTTTGGCCCTGCGTATGGTTTATCTAATTTTTAGTATTTATTACCGCAATACAAAATCTTTATTTTTCTGATATTGGAAGAAAGAACAAACTGTATTTTAAAGAAATGTTTTTCATTTTCAATATATTTTTGTAACATAAAAGATGATCAAATTACTTTGATGAAAGTATGCAATGGTTGCATTTCTCTTGGTTTCCATTCTGCTCTAGTTTTTAACCAGCATGCAACTATGCCTCTTCACCCTTTCATAAACTTTTTTTAAGGCTTAAGATGAAAGTTTTTGCAGTTCTTTTCATCTTTCTTGTGAGTTGTTGGACAGATCAGCGAGAGAAATTTTTCTAGCAGTTGGAATAGTTTGTTTTAACTTACATGAGGTAAAAATGAAGTAAGATGCTCAAATTTTTATAAATCATTATCAAGCAGCATTAACATTAACAAACTCCAAATTTCAACTTTGAAGTTCAAGAGTATAAATGAACATCTTTCCTTAAATGCAGCTTTTTCAAATCATCTGAAACAAATTCTTATCAAGTTTTTCTGCTTCTACCTCTAGCTTTTTCTTCTAAAACTTTTAACTCTCTACATGCTGATAGCCAGTTATCTGCATCTTTATGCTTTACTTGCCCAAACCATCTAAATCTTCCTTGACGCATCTAATCAGATTTACTCACAACGCTTAATCATTTTCTTAAATCATCACTGCTTTTATTGTCTTTTAAAGTCACACCGCATATCAATTTATTCATCATCTTTTCCGTTCTTTCCAGAAGCTAGACATCATCAACCTTTATTGCCCATGTTTCACTGCCATACATCATAACACTCTGGACATATGTGCTGTAGAACTTTCCTTTAATTATTCATGAAGCACCTCTTGTTGTTAAAAGTGGAGATAATTCTTGGAACCTGGCCCAAGCAGCCCATACTCTTGCACTAGATGCTTCTTCTGCTCCATCAACTGATCCAATCGCACCTCTAAGATAACAAAATTTACTAAAACACTCTATCTTTTCTCCACTTTTTATTTTAATCTCTTTTTTAACTTCTCTATACTCGCCAAAAGTATGTTTTCTACACTCAAAACTGACAATCTTTATAGAACATCTCTTCAATATCTACATCTTTTATGAAACCATTGCATACAAACTGTACATACTATAGAGTTAGATCCAACTCTCTTCCTATATATTCCACATGGCCACTTCCCAGTATTTTCTGCTTGTTCATTCTTGACTTTACAATGCATAACTTTTGTCTTATTCATGTTTATCTAAAGCCCTTTTGGTTTATATCTATCTTTCCAAGTCTCAACCTTGATGGGCTGATCATGTTATGTATTTTCTTAAACATTGTTTGATAATACTTGTACTACATTTTAAAAATAAAATTTATAAGATAAACAGAAAGTGACTTAGGGCCTTCACTTAGGACCTCCAGATTCTTAGGCCTCCAGATTCTTAGGCTTAGGGCCTTAGACTCTAAGGGCATCCACTTGTCATGATTCGCCACTGATCACATAAATAACATAACTAAATGTAATTAATGAAGTTATATATCCAATTAAAAACATGAGTTAGTAATTTAATACAAAACAGCTGTACGGTAAAAATAAAATTTTATCAAGATATGATAAAATTTTATTTTTTATATATTTATTATATAAGTTATGAAAAGCTAGTTTATTTTTATATTTAATAAAATTTTATCAAGATAACTAGTTAAGATAAGCTAGTTTATTTTTAAATTTCATACAAATCCAAATAAAACTAATTAATTTACATATTAACTTGGTAAATAGTTTTTTATTCACCGCATAGCTTTGTATTTTTGTTGAAAATTTCATTATTAATAACTGTTGACCATTTGAAAAGTGTAATTTTGCTCTCAAACATTAGGAGAATTCACTCTTAAATTAACCTGTTTTTCTTTTATGTTTCCCAAAATGATTACAGTTTTGTTTGCTTTTTTTTTTTTGTGGCAATTAGTTTCTATATGTAGAGTACATAAATCCCATGCTGAGCCAAGAGCTATCTTACATGACTATCATACATGACAGTGGCCTAATATATATATATATATATATATATATATATATATATATATATATATATATATATATATATATATATATATATATATATATATATATATACACTTACTAAAGCGTGTTTTTGAGCATTTGCTCACTTTTTGTGCTTACTTTAAGGTATATAGTTTTTTTTCGAAAAAGAAGAAGAGAAAAATAAAGAATGATGAATAAAACGATTGCTTCCCCATCCCAAACCCTCAGTTGATGTAGCAGCACTCCACTGCGAGTCAGGCTATTTGTCAGTCGATGTATGTACAGAAGCCCCCAGCAGCCGGCTATTTCAGTATGACGTCAGATTGCTTACCAAAGTACGCAATACTATTTGTATATATATATATATATATATATATATATATATATATATATAGTATATATATATATATATATATATATATATATATATATATATATATATATATATATATATGTTTATTGGGGTGCATTGGTGTCGGCCTGTATCAAAGGCTTGAATTTAACATTTTATATAAGAAACAATTGTGAGATTTCATAAAATGTTTATTTGTTCATTTTTTTACTATGCTTTATTCACTTTTTTTTTTTGTGTGTAAAAATTTAATGTTGTATAATACAGGTTTAAAGTGATAATCCAGGTTGTGTAAAAGGTTATTTTTTTAAGTTTAGATGTTAATTATCTTTAATAAAATTTGAGTTTAATATAATTTTTTGACATAAATATACAACACATTTCTTAATATTTTAGGAAAATATTGATGTTTATTCAACAACTGAGCCACAACAAGCATTTCATCAACGTGTACGGTTTTCGTTGGATATTTATAACCAATCAGTGAAAGTATGTAGTTTTGGTTATTATTATATTAGCTTTGAAAGAGAAATGTTGGGGATGGATTGAATCCCCAACCAGCATAAGATAAAATCTAAAGGATCTTGGATCTTAAATTAATTTATACATGCATATTATTTTTTTGTTTGTTTTAAATTTGGATAGTAAAAGGATAATAAAAATATATAACATAAATTTGTATGCACAATATTATATAAAAGTTATTTTACTATTCATATGGATAAAAATTATAGGTTGGGATGTGCAAAATCAAACTATAGGTTAAGGTTATATAACCATGAGAAAATAGAAACAATCTTTTAAATTAAGATTTAGTCAAGTGTAACAAAAATATGTTTTTTATTATTTTGAACATTAAATTTTAATGATGCATTAAAAATTGCAAAGTTGTATCATATGATGTGTTTGTTGATAGATGTGTTGTATGGTGTGTTTTCCATAAATAAAGTATATTAGTTGTTAGTAAAGTTATTTATTTTTATATAAAAAAGTTTTTTTTTCTACTTCTTTTAGGCAATGCGCTACCCTGCAAAATCTTATCATAAAGATTTAGAATCACTCGAGGTAAGTTCAACTTGATGATGATTAGGGTGTGTCATATTTTGGTCAAAACTCAAAAATTCATATTTACCAGTGGCCTTTTTTAAAAAAGGGTGAGGTTTAACATATGAAATTCAGAACTATCAAAAAATTTGAATTTAAATGAGTTTAAGCTACCAGGGAACTGCCTTGAAAATTGCCGAAAAATGTGAATTTTCAATATTTTTATACTTTCAGGGTCATTTTCAATATTTTAGACTTATATCTATTTTACAACAACCTTATTTTAAGAAATTAGGATTAAGGAAAGGAAGATAAGACAGCAGGAGTAAAATTTATTTAATAGTTATACTGTTTCAAAAATTTTTATGAATACTTAAAAATTATTATTTTTTCAAAGTTTTGTGGCGTTAATTTACATCTCTTCCCCCCTATTTTTATTTTTGATTATGATAGAAAATTTTATGCTGATTAAGAATCGTATAAAAACATAGCTCTAAAAATTGAAGCAAAGTACTCTAATTTGATCTTGAAGTTTAAAAAATTACACTAAAAACGCTATTATTCACCATCTTTTTTGTACTCTGTTATGATTAAAATTCATTCAAAAGTAAACTTTGAAAATAACATAAACAACCTGGTTTTTATTGTCAATAAAAAATGAAACTGTTTTATAGTAGCTACTGATTTAGAGATAGACAAGGGCTTCAAGGAAGAATAATGATATAAATTGATACCTGCCCCAACCCTGACCCTCCGATGTGTTATCAACTCTCTTGCGAGTTCTCCCTAAATCAGTCGATGTATGTACTGAAGCCCTTGCCTATCCCTAAATCAGTAACTAAGGGCCAGAGGGCAAAAGTTAACAAACAGAATTTTACGCCACTATTCTGCAACATTACCTTTAAAAGTTTAATTAATTTTTTAAATACAAAGAATAATTTATGTAAAAAAAAAGTTTATTTTTTATTATAATTAATAATTGTATTTTTTTAAAACTAAGTAAATTTTAGTATCGATGAAAATAAAACCCGGGTTGCGCAATTAAAAATAAGATTTATAAAAAAGTGTTTAGTTGCATTTAAAAAAGATAACAAATTATAGCGTTTTTTGTGTAAAATTTTAAACTTCAAGATCTAATTAGAATACTTTGCTTTAGTTTTCAGAGCTATGTTTTTATAAGATTCTTAATCAGCATAAAGTTCTCTATCATAATCAAAAATAAAAATAGGGGGTAGAGATGTAAATTAACGCCAGTTTTGTATTAATAAATTTAATTTATAATTTTAGTTATATTTAAGTTATACATTTTATTTGATGGTTCTAAATGGCAACACAGAAAACATTATTCTAAAGTTTTTTGTTTTAATATTAGTTATGCAAGTTATATATATATATATATATATATATATATAATATATATATATATATATATATATATATATATATATATATATATATATATATATATATATATATATATATATATATATATATATATATATATATATATTTCTAATTTTCAAAATTACTAGATACAAAGTATAATTAAATTTAAAATGGCTGCTGGAACAAGATGGAAAAATGATTCTTGTTTATGTCAATATTTGGGATCTGGAAAAGAGTTGCCAACAGCTGAACTGCCAACACTGAGAGATGTCCTAAGATATGGTATTTTTTTAAGAGAAACAAGCAAACTAAACAGAAGAAACTATAGTAATTATGATTTGATCCAGGATATTTATAATAAACTTTCAGAAAAATGGCAAATGGCCAGTGTTTTATTTGTGCCTCTCGTAATTAGTTTAAAACACAATTTGGTAACAAGACTTAAAGTTGCATGGAACAAAGCTAACCTGATTTCTCAAAATAGAGCAAGTAAATTTATAAAACAAAAGTTTAATTTAATTATTGACAAACTATTTGATTTGGTGGAGTGTAACTGTAAAATATCTCTTTGTTCTGAGCAATGCTGTTCTCCTGACTGTAAAGTTGGTGCCCACATTACCTGCATATGTCCTAGGGAGAGAAAAATACCAATAAATCAGCTGGTTTATATAAAAGGTATGAGTGAATATATGAAAGTCACTTTAAAAGTGTTAGTAAAGCAGAAAACCAAATTTTATTATACTATACTGATTTCTTTGATTATTTTAAAAAGAAAATTTTATTTAAATTTGTCTGGTTGTAAGCAAATTGTTGTCACATTTTTATTAGCCAACGAGAAAAGATCGGATCTTTAAGTTCATATCAACTTGGGCCTGCTGATTTGATGAAGTCCAAAAAGTTCAAAAAAGTACAAAGTTGCAAACGAAGAAGAGAAGAAGAAAAACAAATGAGAGAAAAAAAACACACTTATCAAAAATAAAATAAAATGCAATATGAACAAGATAACGAACATGAAAATTATGAAGAGAAATCTAATGAAAATGAAATTTTTTCTATTCAAAAGCCTTGTACAAAATATTGATATCTCTAATATTGCATTGGCCAGTATTCGGTATGGTGTTGATTTTAAAGCAACTGCAGCCATAGCTACTGCAGCAGGGTAGATGGAGGACTTGTATCTCAAAGTGACACTAGATTAATAATAGATCACAGTAAAGTTCGGAAAGCTAGGGATAAAGTCATGAATGAAGTTGCTGTTCAGTTTGATGATTATTGTGATAAAGAGATTATTGACTGCATATTTTTTGATGGGCGAAAAGATCTTACTAAAGTATTTTTAACTGTAGATGGATCAGACAGACAGTATCCGGCTAAAGTTAAAGAAGAACAGTATCCGGCTAAAGTTAAAGAACGGAGACTCTACCAATGAAAACACTGATTGGGAGGGAGGAGTAATGCACTTTATGGAGCTGAAATTAGGGAGAAGGTTGGATTGTCTGCGCTCTACATACCAATGAATTACCATTCAAACGTTTAATTAAATTGTTAGATGAAGAATCTAAAAGCGGTACCCATTGGAAGCTTACTTGATGAAGCAACCAATCTTGAAATTAACCCTTTTTTTAGTAAAGTGGAAACTGGTGAGCCTCTAATTAACTTAAGTAATGATGTGGTTAAAGACCTTTCTACAGATCAGTAATATGGCTATCAAATAGTTAAAGCTATACGCAAGGTCATGTTCCTCAGCAACTAGGGCTTCTGGAAATTGGCCCTGTTAACATGGCCAGATGGCTAACAACAGCCAATAGAATATGTAGAATTTGGGTATCTCATCATGATCTTCGAGACGATGCAGCCTAAAACCTTCTTAAACTAGTCGAGTTTATTGTAGGAGTGTACTTTCCTGTCTGGTTTAACAAAGTTAAATATAGTTGGACAGAAGGACCAAAACATGTTCTTTACCAGCTTAAGTTGCTTCAACACCAGTCACTCGATATTCAAAACATGGTCATTCCAACTATTAAGTCATCTACTTGGTATGCCTTCTCTGAATCTATTCTTCAAACTATGCTTTGTTCTGAAAATAAAGAGGAGAGAAATTTCAGTGTAAACAAAATTCTTCAAATAAGAGGTGATGAAAATGTACAACTTGGAGATCTATCTGTTAGACCAAGAAGGACACCAGATATCAATACTAAAGCAATTTGTCTCAAGGACCTTATTGATTGGAATGAAGCTTTTGAACCACCTTTAACTTGTTGCATGACAACTAAAGACATCAAAGAGTATTTTTTTAAACCAACGATTGTACCAAACTGGTGTTGCCACACTCAAGCTGTCAAAAGATGTGTAAAAAAAGTTACCCAGGCTTGCGAAAATATTTTTACAGAAGATAGAAGAGATGGTTGGATTAAAGGACAAGAGTTGTCACAGAAGTTGATGTCACGAAATCTATCTAAACAAAACCTTGTTGGCTTGACAATTTTTAAGAGTTAATCTTTATTGTACTTTATTTTAATGTGCCAGTAGATGTTTTGTGGATCTATATGAAAGTTTTATTTTTAATTCCAAAACAACCTAACTTTACATTTTTAGTGGGAGGTAGTGGGAGGTAGTGGGAGGGGGGCCAACCACTAGTTATTTTTATACAAATAATTTTTTTTTTTTTTAAATAGAGATGACCTTTTTTTGCGTTTTGTAAGTTTTTTTAAAAAAATACTTCAATTTTTTAATTTCATACCTCCACCTCCCCCAGGGTTTTTGGTAAAATAGTGTCTCTGTTAGCTAAAACTTTTTTTATTTTTGTTGACGGTTCTGAACTTGTAATATCATACCTCACCCTTTTTTAAATTATGCAAGTCAAAATTAAAAAAAAAAAAAGTATGACACACCCTATTGATGATGTCAATTAAGTTTTTTTAAAATTGGGTAAAATGAATTAAGCATTACTAAAAAGAAAGATTTCTGGTTTCTCATGAAGAGGGCTATTCTCAAGTCCAAATTTCAAAAACAAAAAAAATTTTACTATTAAAGGACATTACTATTACACAAAGAAAGTGGTATCTATAAAAGTAACAAATTCTCTGGAAAAAAAATAAGTTAGAGCAACAAAAGTTTTCTTATCAAATAGAAGAAAAAAGAAATCAAAAAGAAAATAAACTGCTAAAAAAATCAGATCTGTGTACAATCAGTTTAATCATGAACATGAAATGTATTGAAAAAATTTATAAATTATAAATGCATTTTGGAACATCAAATATTGCCATCGGGTGGCAAAAAATGCATAATTAAACATCTAATTGGCAAGACTTTTGTTTATAATTTTGAGGGGATTTTAAAGTGATTTTGTCAATAACTTTGCATAATTTCAGTCAATTTTGATGTTTTTTATCTACCAATTTTGATGTTTTTTATTATTAATCTACTAGACCATTTTTATAGTGAAACAAGGCTGTGCTTGTTAAATTTAAAAGAAATATTTTTTTAAAAATTACGATTTAAATATATTTACTTTTATATTCATTTAAGATAACGTTAAAAACCATAATAACATTTATTATAATGACAACAGCATTAATAATAATTATAATGATAAGAATACAAAAAAAAATTAAATCATTAATTTATCATTAAAA